GCAGTAGAACCAAAATGATAATATCCGACCCCAAGTCGGTAGTACGCTTTCAAGAAAGTGGCTATGTAGTGCCTAAAAAAGGAGGGATGAACAAAACACTGTTCGTTTCGTCAATGTATTTTATATCTCTCTACCACCAATAAGTATATATATGTACACCGTCACCATAAATAATATATAAAGAACAGATTGGCTATTTCTACACCTATGTACAATCCTTTCGCTCAGGATACCAAACGTGTTCACATGCATAGTTCATCAATCCCCAGTATTTTTTCACTGTCCAGTAGCGTATCCAACCTAACTGGAATGAACACCGGCGAGTTCACCAGTACGTGGGCCATCCCACTGACAGTGTCATGAGGTACCTGTACGCCAACGACTGCTCTCCAGCTACTCGCTGCCAGAGTACCTCAGCCACACGCTGAGCGGGGTCAGAAACCAATACAGGGGTAGCGATCCCCTGGCAGCAGTCTCTAGCGACCAGCTAGCAGCACTACTCAACAGGCACCTCCCTATCGTCAGTCTCTCCCTTAAGCCAGTCCCAAAGGTACGCCGATCTTTTCAACACTTAAGCACTTGCAGCTACCACACTGCTTCATCGGCGGCGGCTTACTTGGTCGTTTCCAGGACCCTGTAGGGATACTGTGGACTGCCCAAGGTGAGGTGCCCTCTCTAGTACCGCTGCCTCTAGACGTCTCCTCTGTGGACACAAAAACGTCATCAATGGCCTTGCCGATACTGGAGAACTAGGAAATACTACTAACTCACTGGGGAGTTGACATTGTGCTCTGTAGCACACACTAGGTGGCGCTGGTCTTGATGTGTCACCTCACTAGAGGTCACTCACAACGACCCCTCTGGCTGACCAAGGCAGGAATCTTCAGCCATTTGCAAGTTTTAGATAGTCACCACCAGATGGCTTTGTCCATATTACGTCCGATTAATATTGTTAATAGAAACGTTATCCATACAGACAAAAATCAGAAGATACAATTGACGATTTACTATAAAACCAAAAAAACGGCCAACCTACTCATGAGAAACTCTCCAGACACAAAGCAGAACGCTTTAAAAGAGACCAATGTCGTCTATGCCTTCAAATGCCCACTTGGGGACTGTAAGCCTCAAAGAACTCAGTATATAGGGAAGACAACAACATCTCTTTCCAGGCGATTAACGATGCATAAGCAACAGGGCTCCATTAAGGAACATATAATTTCTTCCCACAATCAGACCATCACCAGAGAAGTCTTAACAAAAAACACAGAAATCATCGATAGATACAGCGATAGCAGGCGGCTTCACATCTGCGAGGCACTACAGATCAAAAAGTCAACAACAGCAGCAATCAACAGCCAATTAATGCACAACTATATTCTACCCACTTCAAGACTCCGTACCAATATAGCAGCACCATGAAGAATTATAGGCCAATAGGCCCTTTGCAGTTACTTCCATTCTTCTTTTTCACTTATCCAATTTATACCCATTGCACTGTGTTCTGTCTTGTGTTCGTCAAAAGTTTGTTCACCTCATCCAAAACTGTTTCAACATATCACCTCACCCACATGCGAGTATATAAGACAAGCTATTAAGCGTTAGAATTAGCAAAACTCTGTTAAGTGTTTTCAGGTTATGGTTGTGTGTGTGTAAACTAAAGTCTTTGAAAATGTAATACGTTATTACGAAACGCGTCCAAGCGTCATGTCAGACTAGAAATAAAAATGAATTTTGGAGAATTGATTTTTCAATTACCATCGACAGTAAAAAGAAATATAAAAAATGTTGAGATAAATTCGTGTTAGAATTATTAATCTTACTTTTTCGGTCATATTTAACAACATATGTTTACAAGAAAGACTGCTACCAATATATATATATATATATATATATATATATATATATATATATATATATATATATATATATATATATATATATATATATATATATATATATATATATATATATATATATATATATATATATATATATATATATATATATATATATATATATATACATATATATATATATATATTATTAAATATGACCGAAAAAGTAAGATTAATAATTCTAACACGAATTTTCTCAATCTTTCGTACATTACGCTTCACTGTTGGAGGTAAATCAAAAATCACTTCTCCAAAATTCATTTTTATTTCTAGTCTGACGCGACACGGGCGCGTTTCGTAAAACTTATTACATTTTCAAAGACTTCACAAATACACAACTGATTAGAACGTATCTCTGATTTTATATCTACATTTGAGTGAGGTGGGAAGGGTGATGTGGCATTAACACAAGACAGAACAGGAGAGGATATTAATAGGGTATTAAAAGTATCAGCACAAGACAGAACAGAAACAATGGGTATTGAATAGAAGTGTTTGTAGAAAGCCTATTGGTCCATATTTCTTGATGCTTCTATATTGGAGCGGAGTCTTGAGGTGGGTAGAATATAGATGTGTAATAATTGGCTGTTGATTGCTGGTGTTGACTTCTTGATGTGTAGTGCCTCGCAAACGTCAAGCCGCCTGCTATCGCTGTATCTATCGATGATTTCTGTGTTGTTTACTAGGATTTCTCTGGCGATGGTTTGGTTATGGGAAGAGATTATATGTTCCTTAATGGAGCCCTGTTGCTTATGCATCGTTAAACGCCTAGAAAGAGATGTTGTTGTCTTGCCTATATACTGGGTTTTTTGGAGCTTACAGTCCCCAAGTGGGCATTTGAAGGCATAGACGACATTAGTCTCTTTTAAAGCGTTCTGTTTTGTGTCTGGAGAGTTTCTCATGAGTAGGCTGGCCGTTTTTCTGGTTTTATAGTAAATCGTCAGTTGTATCCTCTGATTTTTGTCTGTAGGGATAACGTTTCTATTAACAATATCTTTTAGGACCCTTTCCTCCGCTTTATGAGCTGTGGAAAAGAAGTTCCTGTAAAATAGTCTAATAGGGGGTATAGGTGTTGTGTTAGTTGTCTCCTCAGAGGTTGCATGGCTTTTCACTTTCCTTCTTATGATGTCTTCGATGAAACCATTGGAGAAGCCGTTATTGACTAGGACCTGCCTTACCCTACAGAGTTCTTCGTCGACTTGCTTCCATTCTGAGCTGTGGCTGAGAGCACGGTCGACGTATGCGTTAACAACACTCCTCTTGTACCTGTCAGGGCAGTCGCTGTTGGCATTTAGGCACATTCCTATGTTTGTTTCCTTAGTGTAGACTGCAGTGTGGAAACCTCCGCCCTTTTCCATGACTGTTACATCTAGAAAAGGCAGCTTCCCATCCTTTTCCGTCTCATAAGTGAAACGCAGCACGGAACTCTGCTCAAATGCCTCCTTCAGCTTCTGCAGATGTCTGACATCAGGTACCTGTGTAAAAATGTCGTCAACATACCTGCAGTATATGGCCGGTTTCAAGTTCATGTCGACTAAGACTTTTTGCTCGATGGTACCCATGTAGAAGTTTGCAAACAGGACACCTAGGGGAGGCGTCTTTCTAGGCGTTTAACGATGCATAAGCAACAGGGCTCCATTAAGGAACATATAATCTCTTCCCATAACCAAACCATCGCCAGAGAAATCCTAGTAAACAACACAGAAATCATCGATAGATACAGCGATAGCAGGCGGCTTGACGTTTGCGAGGCACTACACATCAAGAAGTCAACACCAGCAATCAACAGCCAATTATTACACAACTATATTCTACCCACCTCAAGACTCCGCTCCAATATAGAAGCATCAAGAAATATGGACCAATAGGCTTTCTACAAACACTTCTATTCAATACCCATTGTTTCTGTTCTGTCTTGTGTTGATACTTTTAATACCCTATTAATATCCTCTCCTGTTCTGTCTTGTGTTAATGCCACATCACCCTTCCCACCTCACTCAAATGTAGATATAAAATCAGAGATACGTTCTAATCAGTTGTGTATTTGTGAAGTCTTTGAAAATGTAATAAGTTTTACGAAACGCGCCCGTGTCGCGTCAGACTAGAAATAAAAATGAATTTTGGAGAAGTGATTTTTGATTTACCTCCAACAGTGAAGCGTAATGTACGAAAGATTGAGAAAATTCGTGTTAGAATTATTAATCTTACTTTTTCGGTCATATTTAATAATATATGTCTACAGGAAAGACTGCTACCAAAATATACTAATATATATATATATATATATATATATATATATATATATATATATATATATATATATATATATATATATATATATATATATATATATATATATATATATATATATATATATATATATATATATATATATATATATATATATATATATATACATATATATATAAATAATTTTGTACTAGCTTCGAATACTACCATCATTCATATTTTGACGACTTATTGTAAAGTTTATTTGATGTAAAATAAAACCAATAAATTTATGCATAAACGTTTTTTAATATATAAGATATTTTTATTATGGGAAGGTAATTATCAGGAGAAAGCAAGGGAGTCCCATGATATATGAAGAAATTTTTTATATCAATATTTTTTTTTTATTTAAAACTAAAACTTCAACCAGTATTTTTTATTTAGCTATCATATCTGAAAAAACTTGCAATAAAATTGTAATATATAATACTGTCGGTATAATTCCTGACTAAGTTTGAGAGTCCGTACGATACACTAAACTTTCATAAAAATTTCGTTCTTTAACCAGAGAGAAGACAGATTTTATCTAATTTTAATGTCTTCTTTTTCTCGAGATTTCTAACATATATGATAGCATGCCACAGTGTTGAAGATACAGAAAGTTATCTGTAGATAGAAAAAATATATACATTTTTACTATAATGAATTATGTTGATGAGTTCGTGGTGGAGGAAGCAAGCATAGATGTGTTTAATGATTTCTACAGTACAGAACAATTTTTTGTAGACAATAAAATACAAAGTTTCTGTTAAGTGAAGACACTTTAACTTATAAACTTGAAATCTATATACTTCTATTTCTACTTTATAGAAAAGGTGCACCTTTTAGCCAGCGATTCAATCAACTCATAACTCGCCTGAATGCTGCAGGAATTATTAACTACTGGACTAAAGACTTGTTAGCCAATATAGCGAGGGAGAAAAGGAAGGTTGTGAAAGAGGACACTGAGAATATCCATGGAGATTCATATCAGGTAATTTTCAAATAAATTCAGTCGAAGAGGTGTAGAATATTTTGAACTTTCATGTTATAAGATCTTCTATTAATTCCCAATGCGCTTTCCACTCTTGACGTGCAGGATGAAGGGCAGCAGGTGGTGCTGAGCCTCAACCATCTGCAGGGAGCATACTACATGCTGCTGGTGGGCTGCTGCGTCGCCTTCTTCACCCTGCTGGGGGAGAACCTCGCCCACTGCTGCTCCTCGCCTCAGTAACACCTTCCTCACCCTGCTGGGGGAGAACCTCGCACACTGCTGTTCCTCGCCTCAGTAACACCTTCCTCGCCCTGCTGGGGGAGAACCTCGGCCACTCCTGCTCCTCGTCTCAGTAACACCTTCCTCACTCTGATGAGGGAAATTTACCTGAGCAAATCTTTTTTTCATCAGAGACAACTTCCTATCAACGATCAACCCCGTTCCATAAAAAATTATCTTCCCAAAGTCCCCTTCGTCAACGTCTCTTACACGCCATTCGTTTGACTCCGGTCCACGTTCAATCCTTTGACTACTTTATTGGGATTGACATATCAAATTCAGGAACAAATAGTTAATGTGAGAAAAGAGAGAGGAGAAGTAAATAGTAGGTTACATTTGTGGCATAGAATAATGAAGGTTTCATAATAACTAGACATCAATACTTTGCACTTAGGACTAAATAAGATGCTTAAAAATGTTTGCCAATTCATTGAACCAAAGAATCATCGTCAATGACTTGGTAAATTAGCAAACAACCTATTCACTCTTGTGGTGCATGTCGTTCCTTCTCAACAGCAGGAGGTTTCAAAACCTTAAATAAAGCACAAGTACACTTCTGTAGTGTGTATTTACCTCTCTCCGGGACTGGCTTTATCCCCATAATTTACTCTAATTCTCTACAAGGTAGAAAATCGTTTTAAAATTTTCATATCTGGTCATAATCCGGTCTAGATGGACTGGTGCACACATAAGAAGCTTTAGGTACTTGAGAGTAGATGACATCCTTACTGTTATGTATAAAGCCATTGTTCTCAAGATTCACCCCTCACACCCCAGGTCAGACTTCGTGACCAATCAGATGTTTGCAATCACATCATTAGGCAATCACTCATCAATAGTCTTATACTGGCAAGGTCTTTTTTCACTGTATCTTTTCACGTGACACCTCTATTCATCAAGCATTTAATAGGAGCATAAGAGATCTGAAGCTGTTGTGAATTGAATCCTTAGGATATACGTCTGTGATTGTAAGAGAGACATAACACACACGCACACAAACACACATACACATTTGCCTAATGCCTAGTGGAATACACTAGACAGTGATGTAGTGGAGGCAGACACCATACACAGCTTCAAATGTAGATATGATAGAGCCCAGCAGGCTCAGGAATCTGTACATCAGTTGATTGACTGTTGAGAAGTGGGACCAAAGAACCAGAGCTTAACCCCGCAAGTACAACTAGGTGAGTACACATACACACACTCACATGAACACACACACACATGAACACACACATACACACACACACACACACAAAACAGCAAATTTGTCCAACAAATGGCTGTTGAAGTTCAACCCAAGTAAATGCAAAGTAATGAAACTTGGCAGTGGAAACAGGAGGCCAGACACAGGATACAGAATAGGAGATGAAGTACTTAATGAAACGAACTGAGAGAAAGATCTAGGTGTTGATATCACAACAAACCTGTCTCCTGAAGCCCTCTTAAAAAGAATAACGTCTGCGGCATATGCGAGGCTCGCTAACATCAGAACAGCGTTCAAGAACCTGTGTAAGGAATCATTCAGAATTTTGTACACCACATATGTAAGACCAATCCTGGAGTATGCGGCCCCAGCATGGAACCCATACCTTATCAAGCACATGACGAAGCTGGAAGAAGTTCAAAGGTATGCAACTAGACTAGTCCCAGAACTAAGAGGCATGAGTTACGAGGAAAGGCTGCGGTAAATGCACCTTACGACACTGGAAGACAGAAGAGTAAGGGGAGACATGATCACAACCTACAAAATCCTTTCGCTCCAGGTGCTCCACTAGCTTTCTTTGCACAATCTTCTCCATCATCTTGCATGGTATGCAGGTTAGGGACACTGGTCTGTAATTCAGTGCCTCCTGTCTATCCCCTTTCTTGTATATCGGGACTACGTTAGCTGCTTTCCAAATTTCTGGCAGTTCTCCCTGTTGCCAGTGATTTGTTATACACCATGGAGAGCGGGAGGCACAGTTCTTCTGCTCCTTCCTTTAGTATCCAAGGGGAGATTCCATCTGGGCCTATAGCCTTTGTCACATCCAATTCTAGTAAACACTTCCTTACTTCCCCGCTGGTAATCTCAAACTCTTCCAGTGGTTCCTGGTTAGCTATTCCCTCTCTTATCTCTGGGATTTCTCCTTGCTCTAAGGTGAAGACCTCCTGGAATTTCTTATTCAGTTCCTCACACACTTCCTTGTCGTTTGTAGTGAATCCTTCTGCCCCTATCCTTAATTTCATAAACTGTTCCTTTACTGTTGTTTTTTCTCCTGATGTGGCTATGCAGCAATTTAGGCTGAGTCTTTGCCTTGCTTGGGATGTCATTTTCGTATTGTCTTTCTGCCTCTCTTCTCATCCTGACATAGTCATTCCTGGCATTCTGGTATCTTTCTCTGCTCTCCAGTGTCCTGTTATTCCTATAGTTTCTCCATGCCCTTTTACTTTGCTGCTTAGCTAGCCTATATCTCTGATTAAACCATGGGTTTCTCATCTTCATTTCACTGTTTTCCTTTTGGACTGGGACAAACTTGTTTGCTGCGTCCTTGCATTTTTGTGTGATGTATTCCATCATATCCTGGGCCGTCTTTTCCCTGAACTCTGTTTCCCATGCTATATCTGCTAGGCATTTTCTTATCTCCTCATAGTTTCCCTTTCGGTATGCTAACCTTTTGGTTTCGGTATCCCTCCTCGAGTTCAATAACCCTTCTTCAATCAGGTACTCAAACACCAATACACTGTGGTCGCTCATTCCTACTGGGTCCTCAAAACTGATTTCTCTTATGTCAGAGTCGTTCAGGGTAAAAACCAGGTCGAGTCTCGCTGGTTCGTCATTTCCTCTCATCCTTGTGGGTTCTCTGACATGCTGGGTTAAGAAGTTTCTAGTCGCCACCTCCAGTAGTTTGGCACTCCACGTATCCTCACCTCCATGTGGTTCCTTGTTCTCACAACCAATTCTGCCGTGATTGAAGTCCCCCATGATGAGCAGGTGGGATCTATTTCTACAGGCAGAAGAGGCTACCCTCTGAATTATAGTGTTAACTGCCATGTTGTTGCTTTCGTACTCTTGACTGGGTCTTCTGTCATTTGGTGGAGGATTATATATTACTGCTACTACTATCCTTGGTCCTCCCATTGTTATGGTGCCTGCTATGTAGTCTCTGAAACCCTCACAGCCCGGGATAGCCATCTCCTTAAAATTTCATTCCTTTCTCATGAGTAAGGGCCACTCCACCTCCTCCCCTACCTTCCCTCTCTTTCCTTATTATTGTGTACTCCTGGGGAAACACGGCATTCGTTATGATTCCAAAGAGTTTTGTTTTAGTGAGTCCAATTACATCTGGGTTCACTTCTTGTGCTCTTTCCCTTAGTTCACTTGCTTTGCTTGTGATCCCATCTATGTTCGAGTACATTGCCCTGAAACTAACTCTCTTCTGCTTCTCCTCTGGGGGGGACCTGTGGGGTCTGGGGTGAGCGGGAGCTGGGAGGATCTGGTATGGGGAGACTGGTGGAGGAGGAAGGGCTTGGGGGGGTAGGGGGGAGGGGGAGGGTAGGAGGAGTGGGTGAGGGGGAGGGTAGGGGGAGTGGGTGAGGGGGGAGGGTTGGGGGGGTGAGAGGGGGAGGGTTGGGGGTGTGGGGGATGGGGGTTTGGAGGGGCAATAAAGTGGGGAGGGCTTGGGGGGCGTGGGGGGAAAGGGAAGGCTGAGGTGGTTGTGGAAGAGGGGAGGGTTTTGGGGAGTGGTGGAGATGGGAAGGCTTAGGTGGGGTGGGGGAGAGTGGGGAGCTTAGGGGGGTGGGGGAGAATGGAGTGTGTGTGTGTGTGTGTGTGTGTGTGTGTGTGTGTGTGTGTGTGTGTGTGTGTGTGTGTGTGTGTGTGTGTGTGTGTGTGTGTGTGTGTGTGTGTGTGTGTGTGTGTGTGTGTGTGTGTGTGTGTGTGTGTGTGTGTGTGTGTGTGTGTGTGTGTGTGGTGTGGGGGGAAAAATAGTAATAAGTAACAGTTGATTCATAGGTGAGAGGCGGGCCAAAAGAGCAGAGCTCAACCCCCACAAGAACCACTAGGTGAATACACATACACACTCAAACTGAGAGAATGATCTGGGGTTGATATCTCACTGAACCTGTCCCCAGAGGCCCACATCAAAAGGATATTATCAGTGGCATATTATCAGTGGTTGGCCAACATAAGAACTGCCTTTAGAAACTTGTGAAAGGAATCGTTCAGGATTGTGTATACCACTTATGTCAGACCAATCCTGGAATATGCAGCTCCAGCCTGGATTCCATACCTAGTTAAACACAAGATAAAGTTAGAGAAGACTCTGCAGTATGCGTGGGGAAATCTGACTCCAGTATAATACTAATAAAATGTATAATTTTAAGAATGCAATATAATGATTAATTCTAAGATAGCTCGAAGGACCAGAATGCGTTATTAAATGAGAAAATCAGTGGCTTATAAATCTAATATTATATATGAATAAATTCTATTAAGCAATGACTGTAAATTATATAATTCTAGAGCCAGCCTCCCATGACACATTTTGAGGAGGGGGGGCCTTCTATAACATTAGTCTATGTGTAACATATATTATGTAATAATAATAATAATAATAATAATAATAAGGATAATATGCACACACATAGATAATGAGAAAAATATGTAATGCAAGAAATACTACTGCAAAGTAAAGATTAATAATTCATAAATGCAATAGCATATATATAGGGACTGAATAATAAAGTACTATCTACAGTGAAAACTGATTAAATCTCAGCTGTGACAGAGGGACGTAGATGCAGTCCACTGTACGACAGTCTGGAAACAGCTTGAGATAGCGATACTTGGAACACGTGAGGGTATGGCGGTCACACGCTTCCTCAGGAGTGTTGCACCAGGCTGCAATAATGAAATTTCCAGAATTTGCACTCCAAAGTAGTATTCACACACATAAAAGTAATATCTAAATATTTGGAGGGGAAAGAGCTGCACTTACATGGGATTAATTTTATCACCTGCAGTGTCACGACATGGCACCAACATGAACATATATAAGATCTCCTTAAATAGAACAAATGAGGTACAAATGCCTGCCGAACTAGTGTCCGTGATTCTGGTAAGCTGCATCCTCAATCTGGCGTCTATGGAGGTAAGGATGCCTTCTGGATTGTAAGATTTGTTGGGACTGCTTCGGAACACCGTACTGCTGGTTGATAAAAAAATGGCCAGAGTCCTCTCT